ATAAACAAACAACCGGACACACTTTTGCTTTTGCTTTTGCTTTGAGCCGATTTGTAATACATTTTATCGGCTTGCTTTAGGATTCGTATTATACGTTTTACATCTTCTTTTACTTTATCACGTGCGATATCGCAACAAACAAACCCTGCACGCTTTGCTTTACTTTGCTTTTCACTTTGATCGTTCTTCCTATTTTCTTCGTCATGTAATAAATCTTGACTCGTATCGTTGCACTTGACACACAATTGCCTTTTTTCAATCACATTCATATATATATATATATAATATTTTACGAGATTATTTGTTTTTCTATTTTGCGCGGATAATTATGACAGGGTTTAATTCTCTTTTTTTTTTATATTACAATTGTCATCGAAAAATTATTTGTCCCTCCCCTCCCCCACTCCATAATTATCAGCACGTTTTTTAGTAATTTTTCTATGTTTTTTTTCATTTAATTATTTTGTTATTTACCTCGCCTATTTCGCTGGTTTTTCCGGAATCTAAGATCTCCTCGATTTCTGGAAATTGCAGCGTCTCCTTTTTACCAATTGACAATTTTAATACTTCCAATTCAACGTTCAATTCTTGTCCCTCGTGTTCGGTTTGAAGTATCTCTTCAGGTGAATGATGTTGATGATGATCGAACGTATCTTCGGATTGTAATGTCAAGAAATTGTCAGTCTCAATGATCTCTGGCTCCGGTGAAAGAGTTTTCTCTTCCGATCTCGAAACCTCAACGCTTTTAACGTAGTTAATACACTTTTCTGAGGGTGGCACCACTGACTCGTACAGAGAAGTAACAGTCTGTAAAATAGCACGTGTGCGAGAAATATCATGAGGATAGAATGACCGAAACGAGAATGATAAAATAAATCTATCTCAAAAATTGTAAAACAATTATTCTAAAATTCTATCAAATTAATATATTCACACTGATTATACAAAAATTAATTAAGCATGATCCGAATGACACAAAATAATATTTAATTAAATATAATTACAGTAAGATAACATAATGATTTATTATATCAAAACTGTTAAAATATATTACCTGTATATTAAATTTCGGTTTTTCGTAGAAAGTTTTATGATCGTTTCTTTGTCCGCAAAGATGATTTATACTTTCGTCGATATTGTTGTTATATTCGTTACCGTTTTCACTTGATCTAGCGTCAATATCGTTCAAACGTATATAATCCGGACAACTGTCGTGTTCGTCTTCGGTAAGATCGGTGTCTGATAATAAAGAAGGTGCTAGATGTTGAAATCCTGGATAATTATATATACCACAACAACCAGATGATGGTAGGTTTCCTTCCTCGGAAAGATCTGACCACTCGGATGGTGTCAACTCGTGGGATGAGGAATCCTCTCGTGAAGATGAGTTACGTCCTGTCAATAAGTTTTACGATTGTTTTAACACAATGATAACAACAACAAATAATCCTAAACATTCGTAAATGGTTCTTCTTCATTGACTGACTGACTGACTGACTAACTGACTCATCCGTTCATCGTGGTTGGTACTTTTGTACTTCACGAACAGGCCGACCAGCTGCTGGGGCCTGCTCAGTTATGGTTGGTTCTTTCTATAAATTCTAACTGCGAATCTTCTCAGCTAACCAATCTACTCTACTATCACACACACACACATTCTCTCTCTCTTTTTCTTTCTTTTTCTACTTGACTCTTTAAATTACTCCTCCCGTTTTGCAATTTATCCCTTCCAAGAGTAGTTGCCGTGAATTCACTTTTAACGGAATACTGTTATATCGTACTTGGAATTTATATATGTATATATATATATTTCTGAAGAAAATTAGATAATATTCTCAACGTGATGTCGTTAAATATGTCTCATGATTACAATGATGTTAGTCATCGTTAAAAGGTGTAGTGTAATCATTGAACTTGAAATAATTCAATATCTTCCTAACGTTGAACAATGTCAAGGATATCATATCTATGAAAATAATTATGGTATTTAGGTATCGAATTAAAAAATGTAGATGTTTTTTAATATCGTAATATAATATTGAAGTCTTTTTTAAATAAAACTTCTCTTCCCCTATTTATTTGATTATTTTATATTTTTATTGTTAATAGTTCATGAACGTATTCCTAATTTTCAATGATTTTTTATTTACATCGTGAAATTTGTTCATTCGTTAATTATCCCTTCCCTGATCAGCGGAGCGAATACGTTTTTTTATAATTAACGATAATAAAGATATTTTGATAAAAATAATAAATTAGTTTGAAAAATTGATTAATAATCGTTAATTAAATTTAATCGTCTAGCTGAGATAACAGTAAATTACATCTAGGATAAAGTCATCGACCTTTTTTTAAAATCTAACTATGTTTATTTCTATTTCTATACTTATAAATACTTTTTCTTTGTAAACACTCGAGACAGTTACAGTTCAGTCGTCTTATTACTGTACACATATCGGATTCTACACGCGTGTTTCGTATAAGAATATTATTCTTTTTTAATTATTTTAAAACGATTTTTATATTAATTATTTATAATTAATTCATTAATAATTATTATCGTTAGTTAACAAAATTAAATACACATTCTTTTCAGAGTTTTTCTATAAATTCTGTTAACAAATTAAATAGTAAATTTGTTTTTTTTTCTAATTACTCGATTAATTTTCAACATTTTATTTATTTAAATGTATATATTTTATTTTCAGAAAAATATTATTTAAATTCTCGTAATATATATATTTGAGAGACAACGATAAACAATTTTACTCAATTGTTTTTATTACGATTTCATAATTTTAATGTGTGTTAAAATAATTCGAAAAATGATTTACCTTCGTAATCGGCAAGACTATCGATGGAACTGTTACGACGTATTCTCGAATTAGTTAAATTATTATTAATATTGTTACGTCCGTTGTTGGATGTTATTAATTGAATATCGTCACGTGCAATAGCAAGGGAAGACCATATGGTAGTATCCTCGGCAACGTGAAATTCAACAGTTTCTTCTAATCCAAAATCTGTTGATGTTGATGAATCGTTTTGATTGTTAATTTCCTCCGTTGTTGATTGATTCTCGTTGTTTCTATGAAGCTGACTGTTTAAATAAAATAGTTCAAGTTAATCGATACGATTCGTTTCTATTAAACTCAACAGAACAGTTCTCCTATGTAGATATAAATATAGTAACTTGCATCCTATGTGCTTTTTTTCTTTTTCTTTTTCTCTCTTTACGAACACGAAGAAGAAACTATCTATAGATGAACAAGAGATCTATGTATATTATATGTGTAGAGATACATTTTTATCTACAGATTACAACTGAGATATATTTACTTATATTTGTATCTGAATGTGTATATATAAATATGTGTATGTGTTTGTGTGTGTATTTGTATAGAATGTATCTTTTGATATATACTATTCATCTATTTCATCGAAAACTTCATCGATTCTTTTTCTATACGAATATGTTGACTTTATTCATTTCAACAAGCTAATAGGTCACGAGATAAAAGAGTGAAGTAAGTATTTTCTGATAATATATATAGGTGAAATGTTATTTCATAAAATTAAAATACACTTCAATGGTTTGTTATAAAAATAGTTAGAAGATCACGTTGTTTTGCTTGTGTTTATATCAACTAACCGTAAATTTATTTATTTCAAAAAGTAATATCGTATTGTTAGACATTTTTTTAGATAATAATTTAACTGGATTTAATAATTGAAATAACGATGTTTCAATTTGCATATGTTTCTTCTATTTTGATTGTTAGAAAAAATAAAAAGAAAAATAATCATTTCAGTTTTGTTCAATCATTCCTGACGTTCATGTATTATCATCCTTTGTTTTTTAAGTAGAATGGTCAGAAAAGGGGGATGATGAATTTCAAGAGCAACTTTAAGAGACATTCGAGGATGTAAAGTACTTTACGAGACCTTTACAAAACTAGAACACCTACGAACTTATTTTCTTCTTTTTTTTTTACGTACAAGAGCAATTTACAAAACGTTCATGTTGCATACGCGAATAAACAGAAAATTATTTTCGTCTAGTTCGAAGAATACACATTCAAACACTGATGATATTCTATTCAAACACAAAATATTTAACCATTGAAGAGTGGGGAAAACATTGTTTTTACAATGAAACATTTGTAAAATTGACAAATCCAATGAGATCGGGAAACAATCAAACGTGTGTTTGGTGTCGTAAAAATAAAATAAATTCGTAGAAAAATTATATTCGACAGATAAAATTGATTCTATGAAAAAGTTCTCAAACGAAGATATCTTGTTTCTCGAAAGGAAAAGTCTTTCTCTTGAGTGTACTTAAAAGAACAACAATAAAAAACAGAAAAAAAAAGAATACGAAACAACGTTAAAGGTAAAAGGTGTAGACTTACTTATTGTTCAGTCCTCCAGGATGTAAAGGTAACGAGACGATGGCCTCCTTGAGTCGCATATCGAATCCTCGTCTGGAAAAGAAAAACAAATTTTATAACAAATTGTTCGAATAATCATCCTTTAAAAAAAGAAAGAAAAAAAAAATAAGATTCCAACGTAATTAATTAAATTATAGGCCAACAATTAATATTAATCGACAATTAATTATTTTTCACTCGCCTATATTATATAATAATATTTTTTGTTGATCTCTTACTAGATCATTTTTCTCTTTTTTATTTTTTTTTTTCAATTCGTTGTATTTATCGTTGTACGTGTGTTTTAAAAATTATCGGCAGTTAATATTGATGACAATCAAACCGAAAATCTATTCACGTTATCGCGAATATGTAAATATTAGGAATGAAGGAAGAAAATAAAGAGGGGAAATAAATAAATCAAGAAAAATGAACGAAGATCCTTGCTTTGAGTGTTTCGTTCAGTGGTTGCTGTTGCTGCTGCTGTTAGTATAGTGAGAGGAATGGAATAAGGAAATGGGACTCACCGTCGGCCATGTTGAAACCGTGCGCAAGGGTGCTCGCGTTTCCCGTGGTTTATCGACTTGCAACCAACACCCTCGTTTCCTTCTCCTTTCCCCCCTTTCCACTCTTCTACTATCTACCTACCTACCTACCTACCCCTACTTCGATCATCCCTTCTTATACTCTTTCGTTATTCCTCCCCGTCTTACTCTCTCATCTTCGACTGGGAAGAACTTGGATATATATATATATATATATA